GATAAGGGTTATGCATGAGCTCATTTGTGTGTGTGTGTGTGTGTGTGTGTGTCTCCCACTTCGGACTGTGCTGTTGTTACCAATTCACAGAACTGAAACAATATGAGTGAGTGAATCAATGAAAGATAATCTGTCTCTTCTTATTAGAGTCTTTCAGGATCCGACTGGCTTGGGACAATAGCCGCAGGAGACATATCCGGGGAGCTCATTGCAGCTATATTGCCAGATATGGCACTGAACCCAATAAATGTCAAGCGACCTGTAGAGCGAAGATTCGTACGTATATGAATATTTAATGGCAGCACCATCTGTTGGGTCCTAATCCACGTGATCTCCTCAATTAGAACTATAAATTAGCAATAGGGTACAAATTTGTACGAGGTCTCCCAGACCTGGAGTTGTCCCTGGAAGTCTTTTTAAAGAAAAAAAATTTTTTAATGCTCACTTTTGAGAGACAGAGCGTGAGCAGGGGAGGGGCAGAGAGAGGGAGACACAGAATCCGAAGCAGGCTCCAGGCTCTGAGCTGTCAGCACGGAGTCTGACACGGGGCTCGAACTCACAAGCCATGAGGTCATGACCTGAGCCGAAGTCAGATGCTTAACCGACTCAGCTCCTCAGGTGCCCAGTCCCTGGAAGTCTTAGCACAGCATTGTGCATAAACTTCCCCACCCACGTGCATCTGAGCATAGGTTCCAACATACCACCTTCTTCCATCTTTTAAGTCTCTCCTGCCCAAAACCAACTTTCTCTTTTACTTTGATTCTGTCTTCAGTATGTCATGGTCTCTTTTCTAGCCTATATATAAAGCAGATCTGATGCCATATCAGGACAGCCCTGAAGGTCGAGACCATTCTGCTTCATCGGAGGCCCCCAACCCTCCCAAGGCTCGAACTTATGCTGAAACTGTCAGCCATCACTACTTGCTCTTTCAGGACACAGATTTGGTAAATTGAGGCCAGGAGAATGGGTGTGACATTTTAAAAAGTAGAAAACTTTAGTCCTGGAATAGTCGGGCTTCCTAAGGAGTTGTAGCCCAAAGATGCAAGACTAAGAAGCTGCTGGCTTTCTCTCTCTCGTCCTCCTCCCCTCCCCAGGGTTCCTTCCATGATCTGGTCCACAGAGAGCCAATGCTGCGCATGCAGGAAGGGGAGGGGCACTCGCAGCTCTGCCTGGATAGGCTGCAGCTGGAGGCGATTCACAAGGTAAAAGCCTTGCCTCTCATCTTCTCCACGCTTCTTCACTCTCCTTTTCTCCCTGCTCTGCACAGCTGATCAATGAAATGGGCGATGGAAAGGTAACAGAGAGCTGGGAAGGGAAAACCGCTCTGGCGACCCCTCCTGTAGAGCACGATAGACACCCGCATTTCTACCTCTCACCCCATCGTGGTCTTATCCTTTCAGACCGGGGCCCTTTTTCTTTTCCTCCTCTTACAGCTGCCACTCATCCTAAGGCACCAACTGTGAGCATCTCTCTTTTGTTTTCTGTTCTCTTCACAGGTCCGCTTCAGCCCAAACCTGGATTCCTATGGATGGCTGGTATCTGGGGGACAGTCGGGGCTGGTCCGGATCCATTTTGTCCGTGGACTCACCTCACCCCTGGGCCACCGTATGCAGCTTGAAAGCCGAGCCCACTTCACTGCTATGTTCCAGCCGTCCTCCCCTATTAAAGGGCCCGGCTTCCCTCCAACTAGCCATCGCCTTCTGCCCGGTCCCTAGTCGTGGTCCATGCAGGACCTTTGGAATGAAGTCTGCCAGGAACAAATGGCCCCCACCCACAGGGCCATAGGAACTGGGGTCTTCCTGGATAGTGACGCTGCCAGACCTGGACCTTTAGACCTGCCTTGCCAGGACTCCTTAGATACCTCTCCTTCCACAGACTCTGTCATCACAGGCCCCTGCGGGCAGGGGGGCTCTCCCTCCACAAACTCTCAAGGCTCCTCCACCTAAAACTCTGGCTCATGAGAAGCACTCAGGCCTGACCTAGGCTTGGGAGTCAAATTGCTCATATTGAGCATATTGTGAAGTGGGTAAAGCTGAGTAAAGGAACTGGGTGTTTTTGAGACCACATGCGAGTGGGTGTTTGGAGAACTGGAAAGGGTATCTGTATGAAGGCTCCTGTCTGACTATATTCCAGGACCCAGTATTACTGCCTCCTCAACTCCCTCTTCAAAGTAACCAACACACAGGCCCGTGAGGGGGACGGTAATTTATTGGATTGAAGCGGCTTATCGTACTTCTTTAACTGAGGAACACCACAAGCGCCCTACTAGTAGAACAGTGGCTCAGATCTTACTTGCTCCTGCTTATGAAATATTCCCATTGGTCGTCTGACCTTACTCGAACACTCCTAGGCAGTCATGTTTAAAAAAAAGAAAAATCTTCCTTTATATCAAGTCAAAGAGTATACTTCTATACATTTCACCATGGTTATTAGGAACTCTAGTCATTCTTCCCTGTGATTGCCCTTTCAAATATTTAAAAATAGCTATCATGTGTTTCCCAAGTCTTTTCTCTAGATTAAATATCTTCAGTTACTTTAACCATTCTTTACACGTCATGATTTTTGGTCCTTCATGATCCTGTCACATCGTTGAGTTATTAAACATGTCTAGCTGCTTTGACTCTCTAGATAGGAGGTGTTTAGAACCCAAGTACAGTAATGTGTGGTTATAGAGCCCTCTTGGGGGTGCCGCAGAGTCCTAGGGACTGCAGTACCGCCTCCAAAGCAAAGACAGACCCCAGCAAACCACACGGTCTTGGAATGTATAGTAGTACAGTCAAGTTTGGGGGTGGAGGGGGGAGGAGTCAAATGAGATCAGGAGATAGAGAAAAATACACAGCCAGCTCCAACTGGAGGGGGTGGAGATTCATTTAGCGCCTACCTGGAGCAAAACCCTCTGGCACTGTAGACTGGTTGGCCAAATATCTTTGAATAGCTTTCTGCCTCTTGGGCGTAGGGAATTTATCTTATGTCAAGAAGAAGAAAGGAATCAAGCAGTTGCAGTTTCCTTCCTGCACAGAAGAGGAAACAGCCTAGAGGCAGCCAGACTATTAGCAGCAGAGGGACCTCAACCCATGTCATTGCAAAGGAGCCCAGTCTTCTACTGTCCCATTGTGACCAGGCTCTGGTTGGTTATGCCACTTTTGTTTTTGAGCTGACTGATAGGGAAATGCCTTCCATTGCAGAGAAGCTTTGCTCATTCTACACAGCAGCCCCTTGACACTGCCTCATGGAATTCCACTTTCAGCGGCAGAGAAGATAGGATCTGGGGACCCATGCTGTTGAGGCTATAGGTCAGTGCTGGCAGCCTGCTCCTGCTGTGGACTCTCAGCCTCGGTCTCCACCTCCAAAAGAAAATTAGGAGGTTGCTCTCAGCCCTTGCTCTCTTTCTCTACCATGTTCCCTCTTCTTCCCAGGCCGTTCACTTCAACCTTCCCTTCCAATGTGTATGCTGTATACTATCCATGATTCCTGTACTTTTCTTCTTTGTGGCTTTGCTCACACTGTTCCCTGCTCCAGGAGCATCCTTTTCATCATCTCCACATAAACCCTATTCATCTTTCAAGGTCCCAATGCAAATCTCACCTTTCATCAAGGAGCTTCCTAGATTCCTCTAGTGAATATTCTCTGTCCCTTGTGTTCTCAACAGGAAAGGAAGAAAAAAGGATAAATGAGTGTTTATTAAGCTAGCACTTGATCTATTTCAGGTATTTTCGATATGTTACTGAATCATGAGGTAGGTATTGCCCCATTTTATTTGATATTCTTGAGAGTTTAAGCAGTCTGAATACGGTCACTTTACTAAGTAGTGGTGCTGGGATTTGAACGTAGACAGCCTGACTTCAGAGGATAATTGTTCTTTCCAACCTACCTCATTTGGTCTATTACATTTATTCGTGTAAGTTTACTCTAGCATGGTGTTTTGCATATAGGCGCCTTTAGTTAAATGTGATATCGAGTTATCTTGCTTCTTCATTGTGCTTCTCCAGTAGCTGTGACAGGATTCTCCCTGTTGAGTAAACTGGGGCTATTGCTAGCCAGATAGCCTGAAAGAGTCCCGAACTGCTGCTTCCTCAAGGGTGGGCTTCCTGGATCCAGGGATCTGGTCGTAGTTTCCACCACCCTAGAAAGGATGTTTCCCCACATTCACAAAACTTTAGAATGTTAGAGCTGGAAAGGGATTAAGAAATCACCTAATCTATTGATTTCCAAACCAGTAGTTATGAAACCAGTACCAGGACCTTCTAAGGTTCTTTTTCCTTTTCTCTTTTCTTTTTTTTCTTCCTTCCTTCCTTTTTTATTTTTGAGAGCATAGATGGGGGAGGGGCAGAGAGAGGGACAGATGACCAGAAGAGAGCTTCGCGCTAACAGGAGAGATCCCCATGCAGGGCTCGAACTCACCAATCGGATGATTACCTTCTGAGCCTAAGTCCTACGCCCAAACGAATGAGCCACCTACGTGCACCTACGCAGCATTTCTAAAAGCCCGATGTAGACAAAGACAACTAGGTGCTAAGAGAATGACAAATACGAACAAGACCTAGTTCCACCCATTCAGGGGCTCACAATCAAGGCGAGCGAAGAACCCAAGGACACTGGAAAAATAACACGCGCGCTGAACTACAGCATAGTTTCCAAACGGATTCCCGAGACTGAGGAAGGTGTCAGCACCTTGGCCAGTTCCGGGGCGCGGGGGGCAGTGAGGGTCTATCCAGGTTGAGAAGCCCGGGCTACAGGGAGAAGGGGTAGGACGAGGCAGAGGTCAGGTGGGAAGCATGGCAGGCGGGGCCACCGAGACGCGGCGCACACTTGGAAAAGGGTCTGCTCACAGACGAGAGCTGAGCCTTTCTCCACGGTATTTGTGGGTCAGTCCACTACCACTCCAGCCCCGGGAGCCGGGTTAAGCCTGGAGGCCAGCCGGCGGAAGGGCGGGGCTTGCAGCGGAAGTCCCGCCGCCTGTCGGGTCACGTGGGAGGGGCTGGACGCGAGCGCAGGTGAGTGGCGGGTGATCCTCCTTCCCGGGCTCAAAGCGTCGCGTGCTGAGAGCATCTAAAGCGCATGTGACCCTTCCAAGCCAGGGAATGGTCGTCCCTATTTCCGATTGGGCTCAGGAAGGATGCGGGCTGTTTCCAACTAAGAGTGATTCTGGGGACCGGCCAGGCTCTGGGTGAAAGCCTGAGCAAACTGTCGTTACGTGTCTTGGTACGGAAGGAGGTCCCGAGGTGGCCTTGCTTCAGGGCTGGGGATGGGGTGGGCGGAAGCTGCCACCGAGATTCCGTAGCCGCTTACAGCCTTCTCGTATTATCTGATTGTCTAAGGCGATCCCTGTGACAGGAAGTTGTCCAAGGAAGCATCCCTCCTGAGGCCTCTGCCCCTCTAGGACACATTAGAAGCGGGACGGAGAGAGGGAGTGGGCACAACGGAAAGCCAAGTGTCTCTTTAATTGTGGGGAGGGGCAATGGGTGTGACCCCCCTCTCCTCTTGGCTTGACAGGAATCATGGCACTCTGGCGGGCATACCAGCGAGCCCTGACTGTTCACCCGTGGAAAGTACAGGTCCTGACAGCTGGTGAGTGAATAGACCTGAGTGGGACCAGAGCAGGCAGATTTAGGAAGCAAAAAAACTCACCCCACCACACCTCCCTCAGTTTTTGCTTCTATTCAGCGCCCCTTAAAGGGTTGGCTGTCTCTCATCCCAAGTTGTCCCCAGTCTTTAGGAAGGTGGGTCCCCAAGGCTGTTCTTAAGGAAAGGGTCTGCCTAGCTGTAAAGTAGGATCTGAAAGTCCTCAAAAAGCTGAGGAGTCATCCCTTTGGGATAAAGGCATTGCCCCAGGAGGCCCTAACTTAGAAAACTTAACAGTAGCAAACACTCCTCTAACATCTTGCAGTGTGCAAAACACTTTCCACACACATATCTCAGAGGGTCCCCACAAAGATCTGAGAGTCCACATTAAATCACCTAATATGTGCTGGGATCAGGACTTTTACCCCAGATTATTTTCTTCCTTTTTTTTTTTTTTTTTTTGTAAAATATATCTTAACATACAAAAGAATGGTTGACATATATGTAAAGTTTAAATAGTATTAAAACTGATGATTTTTGCATCACTACCCAGCTCAAGACCCCTTGAGCACCTATCCTAACCTGGCTTGTGTAGCCAAGAGATGACTACTCTCATGAGTTTTGTTTATACAACACTTTTGCTTTTCTTATAGTTGTACTACCTATTTATGTATCCCCAAACCATGGACTAATTAATGATTTATGTGTACTCCAAATCCAGTAATTGGATAACATCTTCACAAAGGTAACCCAGCAACTTAACCTACATTTGTTACCATCTTTATTTTGCACATTAGCTAAGAAATCCAGAGATGGCACAGGTAAGTAAGTTTTATAGGGGGGAGGAGGGACTAGAAGATCTAAGACTGATGGGGCAGGGCAGGAAGGAAACAGGTTCTAGTGAGGACCATGGGCTTCTGAGACGAAGACCGTCGAGAGGGAGGAACAGTAGTCTTGTTACTGGAATAGCCCCACAGCAGCACTAGAAACTTCACTGGGTGACTGGCCAAGGGTTGGACTCTTTGCCCCTCCCCGGGCCCCTCTCCAACCTCCGTGCCCAGCCACCCCATGTCCTGTCCTCAGAGTGTCCGTCAGCCTGCATGACTCACCTGGTTGCGCGTGGTGACTCATGCTGGACTGTGTGGCTGTGATGGGGACTGACACCCTGGGCCTTTTGCCAGCCTCAGACTCCCTCAGGACCCTGAATGGCCGGAAGGAAGGTTCCCCCTCATGGCCATCAAGAGTAGAGAGGGAGGGACAGTCCCTGTGTTTCCCATCCCATGGGATGTGCAGTTGACAAGGGGAGAAGCTAGAGTTCAGAGGGGCCCAAAGGCATATATGTGACTGAACTGGGGTGCTGGAGCCCTGGGTCTCTGTGTGGGCGTGCGGCTCCATACCTGCCCCGTCTCCGCGCAGCCCCGAGGCACCTTGCAGGTAGTGCTTTTCTCAGACTTCTCCTTCCCTGCTGCTAATGTGTTTGGATCAAACTGCAAATAAAGGGAAGAGGTGGGTTTAGCTCATCAAGCTTTTTTTAGATCCTTGCACAGCAGCTTCCTAAGGTCCCATGGGATAGCTCATCACACCGGAAAACAGAAGAGAGATTTCAGACTTGGTCTTAGAAGACCAGGTTTTGTTTTTAGTTGTTTTTTGTTTTTTGTTTGTTTGTTTTTGTAATGTTTATTTTTGAGAAAGAAAGAGAGAGTGAGCAGGGGAGGGGCAGAGAGAGGGAGACAGAATCTGAAGCAGGCTCCAGGCTCTGAGCTATCTGTCAGCACAGAGCCCGACGGGGAGCTAGACCCCACAGACCATGAGATCATGACAAAGTCAGATGCTTAACCAAATGAGCCACCCAGGCGCCCCAGGATCAGGATTTGACTCTCAGAGCCGTAGCAGTAGCTGCGTGAACCAGAACAAGTCAGTCAGTAAACCTCTTGGAGCCTCAGTTTCCTCATTCAGGAATCGAGTGGACATAGGACCTCACAGAGTTCGTGCAGGGGTTATCTCTGTGAAAAGGCTTTAGAATTTGAAGAAAATTTTAAAAAGTGTTCAATAGACATCAAGCCTCCTGGACTTGGCCCTTTCCATGAGTGTTGTCAACCCCAACGAGCTGTTCTTGTTTAGAGTGGTTTTCAGCTGAGTGTGTTCCATTTGCCTCAAATTGGAGCATAGGTGACTGTCTTACCTTTGCTTCTCCAAACAGCAGAGCCTGGGGCTTCCATGCAGGTGGGCTTCAATGCAGGTACTTTGTAAGGGAGTAGGAACTAATCCTGCGGGGGAGGAGGGAGAGCCAGTACAAAGGTCAAATTGCACAGTGGCTACTCATCCCTTAAAACGGACTGAGAAGCTCTTTGAAATGCCTCTTAGGACTCTATGGCAGAATAGTCTTTCTGGAGAAAAGAAGCAGCCTTTGCCCACCAGCTCTCATCCCACACTGGTCAAAGATTTGCCACATGAGATGTCAACACGTGTGTGCTCCCGGGTCACACGTGCGTGGTCCCAGGTAAAGTATCCAGCACAGCCCCAGATGTGACCTAGGTGTGAGGCAGGATCGGTCAGGTGGAGCCGCAGTAGTGGCCAGAGTAAGGGGTAAGTGAATCAAGATCTGAAATGGCTCAAAAGAAGTGTCTGATACCCCCCCCAGTGTTGGCCAAGCCAGAGTCACATTCAGAGCAGCCTGGGAAGTGTGTCCTGCAGAGTCTGAGCCTGTCCTTCCCTGTCCTTTCTGGAGGGCCCTTCGAGTCTCCAGTGGGCCCAGGGCCCAGCTCCATCCATTTCCGGCCACTCTAGTCCTGCTGTGGAGGCAGCCAAGCTTCTAGACACTGGTTTCCCTGGAGTCTGGATTCCAGCAGGATGTGAGGGCTCCGAAGGCATTGGAGCAGCCAGTCCAGCCCCTGACACCACAGAGCAGGAGACTGCTGCAGGGGGCAGGGGCGTGTGCACCGAGGTCCCTGCACTTGAGACCGCTGGGGCCTTAGAATGCTGCGCAGCAGCGTAGCCCCAGCTGCTCTGGGCTCCCATACCTGACAAGGCTGCAGAGCCCTCCCATTTTGTCTCGCTTTCTAGCAGTAGGACGGCCTCGGGCCAGGCGTGGGGAGAGCTCTCAGACCCTTCCTCGCTCCCCTCTCTCTGCTAGGCTTCAGTTGCCTCTGGGCTCTATCAGACCAAGCCCCCTGCCCAGGCAGCTGCTTGATTGGGGGAGACTTCTGGGGAGGAGTGAGGCTACAGCTCTTCTGCCCACGCCTGTAGCTCTCCCTGCGGCCCCAGGCCTCTTGCGTTCAAGGACGCTTTCCTGCTCCTCACTCCAGCTGCCTGCCCCTCAGCCTTCTCGTCTTCCATTAGCACTTTATTTTCTTGCATCTAAGACTCCATACGCAAAAGCCAGGAGGGGAACCGAATGGGGGGAGTAAGGAATTAAGAGGGTGTAGAAGTTGGGGCTTTTCTACCAGTGGGCAGGGGGTGATCCCAAATAGATGTGTGCTCAGAGGCGGCCTCTCCCCAGCCCCCTCTCCCACTGAATCCGGTGGTGAGTGACGGCATGAGAACTGGCACCTACCCAGGGGCATGATGTCACACCTGCGCCAGCGTCTGCCTGCCGGGCTCCACGCCCAGCCTGGCATTGGGGCACCACTGCCCAGCAGCCCCTCACCCTGCCCCGTCAGGGCTCAGGCTTTACGTCTCTGCAGGCCTCCAGCTCCAACCCTCCAGAAACAAATCCAAGGAAAGGGGAGCCAGAGTACGGAAAGGTCTCGATCAACCAAAGATGTCCAAGAGGCCTCCCAGAACCTGGCTGGAGCCTGTTTGGGCTCTGGCATTGGGAAGGTTGAATGAGGAATCTGAACATCAGCTCTACTTGCTCAAATTCACTTGGCCCAGAGGTCAGGCCTCATTCTGTGCTCAGACTAAAGCCTTAGACCCTGGAGTTGCTGTAGGCCCAGAGTCCTGCTGATCTGTGGGCAGAGGAGGAGCTGCCCGGCACAGTTTTGTCTGAAATGGACAGAGCTGGCAGGGGCTTCAGAGCTACATGCCCACTGCCTCTCACTGCTGCCCTCCACTCGGAAGTCCCTCGGGCTTCATGAGCGTGGCCTGGGGGCCCTGGAATCGTCTTTCTCAAAGGCTGCTGGCTCCCAGGACTGTGGTTTTCATCCCTGCTCTGCCTTTAGCTTGTTGGGCGACTGTTGGCAAACCACCAAGAGTGAAACACACACCTTCATCTCTTTGTGACTGTTGTAACCCAGGAATATTGCTGCTTGCCATCCCCACAAGGGGACAAGGAACAGACAGGGTCACCTCCTGGGCAGTAAAAGACAGGAGAAAGTGCATTAGTCCACGAAGTGTCCTTGATGTGCGGCCGTTGGGGCCTTTGGGTAGGAACCCCATGCGAATAGCAGGAGCAGCCGCAGGGGCCTCTTGGCACCATGGAGCCCTGAGCCCCAGTCTTCGTGCTTGCCGGGACTCCCTGGCCTCCTGTTCCTCCTTGAGAGAAGGCCTGGGTTCAGCCCCGACTCCACTCCTTACCAAGTCACCTCGGCTCTCAAGGCCGGAAATAGAGGTGTGACCCTACCTCCCAGACCTTTCCTGAGGATTGCATGTGCGAGAGCCGTTTGTAAATTAAACGTCTTGCCCAAGTAGAATGTCAGACTGTTAGTCTCTTCATTTAAGAAGTGACTGCCTTCTGTTCAACCCTCTCCGGGGCTTCTCAGGCTCCCCTTCCCTTTCTGCATGGCCACAGCAGCAACCCCTCCCTGGTGGCGGGGGGGGGGGGGTATAAGTGAGGGGGTAGGGAGATAAGTGAGCGGGGAGCAAGGCTTCAGTCCTCACACCTCGAGCCTGACGCGTAGTCCCGAGGGCTCCTCGGAGGAGCGCTCACACTTGGGGTTCTTCATGCCTTTCCCAGAGCGGGCCTGTTGGTTGGGTGTGGTGGGGGTAAGAGAACAGAGATGCCCAGGATTCTGTCCTTGCCCTCTGGGAGCTTGTGGCTAGTCATGTTCCGGGAGGAGCCTCCACCACTTTGAGAGTTTCAGGAAGAGGTTGCCTTGATCGTTGCTGTGGGGGTCCCAGAGCCTCTCTACAGGGGCTGGGAGTGCCAGTAGCCTAGGTCCCCCGGGGAGGGGGGTCACAGCCCCAGCCCTCAGCCTTCCCCAGCTGCCTCTGACGAGGCTGCTCAGGGGTAGGGCTTTGCAGAGGGTGCAGGGGAAGAGTAGTGAGGGTGCAGCCGGTGCGGACGTCAGAGCCAGCTCTGGACCAAGGAATAGGATTAAAGGATGTGTTTGCCCAGTGCTGATTGAGGGCACAGGGACAGTGGTGACTCTGGGGCTGGAGGGGTCTCTCATTACTCAGTGAGATGGACGGGCGAGCTGAGGGTCATACAGTCACTCCCAAGTGACCCTATGTGTGTGCATTCGCTAGGAACCGTCACGCCACCGTAACTGACGGGGGCTCTGTAAACAGTGACGACTTCTGCCTCGGTTTCTGGGTGTGGGTGTCTGACTGCGGCTGCCTGGAACACGGTGTCTGCGTGAGTGCCGGAAGGGGGAGCAGGTACAAAGGGCTGGGGGAGAAATGGCCATCATATCTGTCATCAGCTCGGTCTGAGGCTGTGAATGGGGGAGTCTGGGTTCACCTGAGTGCACTAGGAGGTGACCAGGACTCCTTGTGGGGACTCTTACCAGCTCGACCCCTCGTCTTCCGGTGTGGGACCATTTAAAAACTCGTGTTTTGGGAAAAGAATTATTCTTGCTGTTCTTCACAATAGAGACCCCAAGACCAAGGTGAAGGACATTGTCCAGGGTCTTGCCTTGGACTGGGAGGAAAAAAACCAGGGTTCCTTACCAATCTACACATGACCTCTTTGTAGTTAGGTGTCTTGGAAATTAAGTGTCTAGGGAATTAAGTCACCTAGTTCTTGCCTTGGTTCTGCCCCTTACTGGTTATACGAGGTCCCAGGCCTTTATTTCCATACCTCGAAAAGCAAGAGTTTGGATGGAATTATCTAAAAGACCTTTCCAATTCTGTTAGTCCATGGTTCTCAGCCCCAAGCACCTGAGATTCTCCTTCCTCTGGCTGCAGTCTCTGACTGGGACTTCTCTTTATTACTCGGTGCAGAGTCCATGGGCCTGGCCTGAGCAAGGCTGTTCATCCCAGTTTCTAACAGGACACAGGGGAGGTGTCACCATCCTTGGGAGAGGAGAGTTTGGAAGCAGCAGTAAAGGACTGGCTCTCTGCCCCAGAATTAGTCTCTTGGGCTCAGAGTGTCAGAGTCTCATTCAGGGACTCGCTTCCCTACCTGGAATGGCAGCCCCTGTCCAGGAATGTTCCTGACACCCGTGTACCCTGCACAGGGTCCCTGATGGGCCTGGGGGACATTATCTCACAGCAGCTGGTGGAGAGGCGAGGTCTGCGGGAGCACCAGACTGGCCGGACCGTGACCATGGTCTCTCTGGGTTGTGGCTTTGTGGTAAGTTCCGCCCACAGATGGGCTGCTGAAGGATCGGACGGTGGCCTTAGTTCCAGGTCATTCTTTAGTTCCCCTTGGCCTGTCTCACATCTAAGCCAACCTTGAGTGTGTGCTTCCACTGGGATTTGGTTTCTAATCCTTGAGAGGAGCTTTGTGATGCAAAAGCCAAGCGCTCCCCTCACTGCACACCCTGCCTCCTCCCCGGGTTTACTTTCAGGGCCCTGTAGTGGGAGGCTGGTACAGGGTTTTGGACCGGCTCATCCCGGGCACCACCAAGGTAGATGCACTAAAGAAGATGCTGTTGGATCAGGTGAGCCGAAGGAAGAGGGGCTCGGGAAGGGTGAGCTGTGCTGGGGTGGTGGGGAGTGAGGTGCTCACAGAGCTTTAATTTCTCTCCCCTAGGGGGGCTTTGCCCCTTGTTTTCTAGGCTGTTTCCTTCCACTGGTAGGAGCACTCAACGGACTGTCAGCCCAGGACAACTGGGCCAAGCTACGGCGGGTGAGCTGGGCAGTTGTGGGGCAGCCCCTGGTCTCTGGCTGGTGGCCTGGCAGTCCCAGGGGAACAAGGCAGGTTTCATGGGGACGCACCAGGTGCACGTCCAGGCAGAGTCCCAGGCTCCGGAGAAGAGGAGCTGAGGGGTGTGGTGCAGGAGTGTAGGCTTTGAACCCAAATCCGTGGGGGGTGTGATATGTAGACTAGGAGGCGGGGGCTGCTTGGAAGTAAGTGCAAGTGTCCATGTGTTCCTTCTTTGTCTCCTCAGGACTATCCTGATGCCCTCGTCACCAACTACTATGTAAGCGATGACACCACTGCTGCCCGTTCTCCTGCTTTCTTGAGTCCAGCTGTGCCCAGGGATGGGGGTCCTCCTGACCTAGCGATCCCTCCACTGGAATGACTCTCATTCCCAGTGCGGGCATCGTACCCAGGGAAGCACTCAGCCAGCTGCTTACCTTGTTCTTGTCTGCAGAAGTGGGAGTAAGACCAGGCAGTGAGTCTGGGGCTCCGGTGATGGAGGCAGCCCCCCAACCTTTACCTGTGTTCTCTCCTAGCTCTGGCCTGCTGTGCAGTTAGCCAACTTCTACCTGGTCCCCCTTCATTACAGGTAAGACAGGTCCTTCCCCCACCCTTCGAGGAAGATGCACATTACCAACAACTGAATACAAGGTGATTCTCATTTCAACCTTGAATCACTTTAGACCCTCCCAGAACACTGCCCCAGCCAGAGCGCCTCATACTCTCCGGCATTTTATTCAGAACCCCTTACCCATTATAGAGCCTGTCCCGGCACCTGCCCACTGACCTTCTTTCATCTTCCTGAAGAGGCTCCTGCTCCACAGCCCTGTCTCCATTCCACCTGAGCTCCCACCTTTGCTGCCATATCTGCAGGGACAGTGCCGGGGGGGAGGGGCGGGGGTGGGGGGCCAACAGACTAGGTTAGACAGAACGGAAGACGGAAGAGCCAAGTAGAACCCTGGCCAGGTGAGTCCTCTGCGGAGTGTTATTTTACCCTAATAATAAAGGTAGTTGCTGAAATGACAGTAAAAATATAGTGGAACTCAACTCAACTACTCAAGACGAGTAGTTGAAACTACTGGGGTTGAAGGGGTTTGGGGAAGGGGAAATTATGGAACTCCTCAGAGGGGACAGAGTCGACATTTACATGAATAGCATAGCTTAAAGGAAGACTTGGGGAGCAGATCTCAACATTAGGGTCTCTGCAACACTCTGGACCTAGAGAAAGGTCCATTTACAATAAAGAAAAGGAGGTGCCACTTTACATGGCAGGCAGTGCAGTTTTGGGAGATAAAATCTCAGCTGGTAGAAGACAGACATGTGTGGTCAGCAGGAGCCTGGACAGGAGTGAATAAGAGCCACACTTGGCAAGATGAGGGTGTTCAACTTTGAGGCTCTTGTGGAGGAGACAGAGCTCTGGGGCAGCACCAGAACCCGGCCTGCTTGTCCTCTGGTCTGAGCCACACGTCCCTCCAGGGCTGAAGGAAGGAGACCTGACCGTGGACGTTCTCAGAGACAAGCCCTCCCTTTCCGTTGCACTTTCCCAGCTTTCTTGCCCCTCATTCTTCGTCATCGTCACAACACCGCTCCTGTTCCGTAGATTGGCCGTGGTCCAGTGTGTTGCTGTTATCTGGAATTCCTACCTGTCCTGGAAGGCTCACCGGCTCTAGGCCGGCCTCACTCCGTTGGCTGCGCTTTTGGTGACGCCGCTTGACCCTGGAGCCACCAGACAGCCTCCTCAGAGTGGGCACACAGGCTTTCCTGGGACTCTGTGCCACTCAGAACTTAATGGGCTTAGCACCTGACTCCTCTTGAAATCGTTAAAACCTTTCTAATGCTCTTATAACAACCAGCACATAATAGGTGCCCCATAAACGTTTGTCATACTGTATGGTCTTGCCAGCTTTAGTTTACACTCATATCCCAGCAGTGCCACTCATCCCCCTCTTCAGAGACACGTCTGTTCTCTAACCTTCCCAGCTCTGCTGTAGCTCCAGCTCTTTGGGGGCCCCAGACCCTTTATACGGTGCCTCAGGAAGTATGCTATTACATATGTAGTCTGAAACCTGCAAAAGTGGTGAGTAGGGTGCAGCAGAAACCTGTGGGGCAGTAAGAATTTCTAGAGCTGGGAAGAAGTCTAGGGACACCAACCCTGATCTTTTTTTTACAGATGAGCACACTGAGGTCCATAGAAGTGAGGTGAGCTGGCCATACCACCCCCCAGTAACAGAGTGGAAACTTGAACCCACAGTCTATAGATGAATGTTTGTATCCCTTCCAAAAATCATGTTAAAAACCTAATGCCCAAAGTGATGGCATTAGGTGGTAGGGCCTTTGGGAGGTGCGTAGGTCACGAGGGATGAATGCCCTTCTAAAGCGGCCCCAGGGAGGTCCTTCCCCCCTTCCACCATGTGAGGACACAGTGAGAAGGTGCTCTCCATGCAAGGTAGCAAGTGGGTTCTCACTAGAGAACCAGTGGCGTCAGCTTGGACCTCCCAGCTTCTAGAACTGTGACAAATAAATGTTTGTTTATAAGACACCCGGTTGATAACTATTTTTGTTATAACAGTGTGAAGAGACTAAGACAAGTCACTCTCCTAAGTGATCTTAACTGGAGGTTGCAGGTATAGTAATACCGTGGCTGTGATTCCCAGAAGAAAAACTATCATGGCTAAAGTACCACTTTGGGACAAACTCAGAAGTAGATGGACCCGCCTTTTGTGGTCTGAAAGCACCCAGAGGCCAGAGACCCTGATTTTAATTGTGCCTCAGCCAGACTGCCCTAGAATTTAGACCATGGGGCTGGAAAAAGGTTAAGAGTCCCGCAGGCGGGGGCTGCTTTGCTGCCTCGGTGGTACCGGAGTCGTCGCCGGGAGCCAGGTGCCCTTCCGATTGTCCTAGTTTGCGGCACTGCTAGCGGGGCTAGCGACTAGGTCAGCAGCAGCACCTCCCAGTGCTTCCGGCCCCTTCTAGAAGTAAAGGGCAGAGTGGGCGCCACCGACAGCCCTGCGGTCCAGCCTCTCTTTTGTAGCCACAGAAGACTGGCTACCTGACCGCTCTGATCTGGGGACTAACGTGGTCCCCCGCCGGCCGTTGCAAGCAGGTAAAGGGCTCTCTCGTGGCTCCCAGCGCAATCGTTCGGCCCCAGCCGGCTTCTCGCTCTCCCAAGTCTGGGGCCGCTTCCAGCCCTGGCGCCGGACGCAGAGTCCAGGGTTCTGAGGTGCGCCCCTCCGGGGCTCGCAGGCGGCCGGACTCGAGGCCGCGGCCGTCATTGCTTCTACAATCAGTGCATGTTCCTCGCTGACGTCAGTCGGAGCTGTCCTGGAGCTATATAAGGCTGGCGGCGGTCCCGGGACAGACCCCGTGTTCCCCAAAGCGCCCTCGTCCGCCCGGGGGACAGAGACTGCAGCGCCCGCAGCGGGCAGACGCTCTCCCGCAACCTGTGAGTGGCTCCGAGGAGCATCCGCCCTGACTCCCTCAGCGCCTGGACTCGTCGCGCGGCTCGCCCATCGCGACTCGCCCAGAGGGACGGAGGGAGGACAGGGTGGCACTGGGTTGGGCTGCGGCTGCGGCTGGAGGGAAGGCGATGGGCACGGGCGGCGGCCGCAGGGGCCCGGTGGGGGAGCTGCATGCGCGCGGGAAGGGGAGTGGCGCCACCTGCCCCGGGCACACCTCACCCCTGCGGTGCGCTTGTGTTTCCAGGGCCGGCGGCACCATGAGGCAGGCGGGACGCACGCTGCTGCTGGCAGCGCTGCTGCTCCTGGCACAGCTGCGCCCGGGGAGCAGCCAGTGGAGCCCGCGGGCGGCGGCGGCCGGGGTCCGGGACCCGAGTCTGCGCTGGAGTCCTGGGGCGCGGAACCAGGACGGCGGGGCCCGCGCGCTACTCTTGCTGCTGGCCGAGCGCTTCCCGCGCCGCGCGGGGCCCGGAGGATGGGGATCCCGGACCTCGGGCGAGCGGCCGCGACGCGACGACCCTCCGCTGTCTATTGACCTCACCTTCCACCTGCTGCGGACCCTGCTGGAGCTGGCGCGGACGCAGAGCCAGCGGGAGCGCGCCGAGCAGAACCGCATCATATTCGAGTCCGTGGGCAAGTGATCTTCGGGGGGGTCCGCGGCCACAAGAACCTCGACCCCCGTCCCTCACCCCTCGGACCGGGACGTGCGCGACTGTACTGACCCAATCCCGCAGTGCTGTAGCGGCCCAGGGATGCCCTGAGCACTCCGTGCGTCGCCGGTTTTTAATAAAAGTGCTGAAGAGCCTTTGGCCTCGGTTGTGGGGCGCAGGGAGCCACGGCAGGGTGGGAGCCGGTGGGAAAGTGCGGCCTCCCGGGCCGGCGGGAGGGAACCAGATGCCGCATGAGGGATCCCGCAGAACGGCTTTCAGCCAGGGTCCCGTGTCCCCATCGTCCCCCAGGAACTCAAGTCCTGGTGCCACCGTACCACCCCGACCCTCTCCCCTTGGCACTGGGCTCGCGAACCCGTGCTTGATACCAAGGAGGTGCCCTACAGGGCTCATTCCACTTCCGCCCACCAAACGATCCCAGACCCGGAGAAGGGAGGGATGATGATGGGGTCGCCTCCGAAGCGTAGGCTGAGAGTGAGCAGTGAAAGGAGCTGCGGGTCTGGACTCTTTAGCCCTTTATTGAGCCCCTCCCCCGCGGCGGGGCGCCGAGCTGTGTGGCACGGTGGTCTCTGCGCAGGTCCTCCGCGACCCGAGGGCCAGGCCCCAGGTACGCGGGCTCCCCGACGGGGGAGGGTCAGTGCCCGCCCGTGCCTGGGAAAGAAAGCTCGGTGGGCTCGCGCTCCGAAGGTACGAGGCGGCTCCAGACCCCAACTCACCCCCTTTCCCCAGCCACGTGGGGTTCTCCTCTACCTCCCGACCCTACCCGGTCTCCCCAAGGCCCAAAGGAAAGGCGGGTGGGAAAGTGCACTTCGGCACGCGCGCTAGAGGGCGCGCCCCTCTCCTGGGGGTCCGGAGGCTCCCGGCGATCCCTGTGCCACAGGAAGGCCATCACCGAAGAGGGGACAGGAGCGTAGGGCCAGCCCCGCCAGGTCCCTCAGGCCACACTCACCTTCCGGCCCATCCGGCCGCTCGTCATCTGGCCCCGCGCTGCCTTCTTCCCCGTCCAACGCCACCTCCTCATCCTCTTCCTCCCCGGAAGCGCCTGACCCCAAGGAAGGCGCGGTGAGGTGGAGTCCCCGCTTCTCGGGCCATGACCCCCCACCGCGCCCCCTCTGGACGCCGGGTCCCCGCGGCCCGCTGTCCCCTCCCATCCCCCGCCCCTCACCCGCCTGGAAGTCGATGGTCCTCAGCATTTCGGCCACGTGCTCCACGCTCACGGTGAACTGCTCCATGCTCTCGTAGCCCGGCTCTGGCCGGCCTGCCAGCTCCACTTTCGACATTGTCCCGACCCTGCGGCGCGGCAGGCGCTCAGCTGGACACGCCCCAGCGCCCGCAACCCCTCCGCCGGAGCCCGGCAGCCCCTTCCCGGCCTTTCCCGCTCCGCCTACTCACTTATTGATCAGCTCCTTGGCCTGCTGCAGGGGAAAAAAAGGAGGGTGAGCGTAAGCACCGTGCCAAGCGCTGGCGAAGTCCCGCTTCCGGGGCCCACAGTCCTGCGGGGTAGGCAGGGATGCTTATCCCAATTCGCTGAGGAGCAAGCGGACTCAGACGAGGGGGACTTGCCCAGAGGCAAAGTGGGGCAAACGGGTGCCAGAGGTAAGACTGGGGCCCAGCCCTCCAGGTGCCCAGGCCCCCGCAGCGAAGCCCCTCGGCGGCCTGCCCCCCTCCCGCGGGGCCCACCTGGAGGTAGAGCGCCATCTGCGGCTCCTCCATGGACTGGATGGCCGACTCCACGAGTTTAGACGAGGCCTCCAGGTGGTCCCCGTACTGGCGGATGAGGCCCCGCACGCGCTGCAGCTTCTGCTCCTGCTCGCGGGCCAGCGCCTGCAGCAGCTCAGCCTTGCGCTCCTCCAGCACCGCGCACAGGGCCTCGAACCTCTGAGTCAGCAACTGCTTCTGCCGCCGGCTGTTGTCCTGAAAGACGGCAGCAAGGCTGAGACGTCCCTCCTGGCCGGGGAAGCACTCCCCACCCACCGAAGGAAAACACGGGGAGGCAAGAAGAAAGGACCCCACATAGTGACAGACCTACAACTGCGGCCAAGGGCAGGGTCTTCTCAGTAATAACCATTACAAGATTTTTAAAAATTGAGATACGATTGACTTTTAACATCATATTAGTTTTGGGTGTACAGTGTAGTGATTCGGTATTTGTGTATCTTGTGAAGGGATCACAGGTCTAGTTCCCATCTGTCACTGTATCTAGTTACAAAGCACAGACAAGTGAAGTGACTGCACCAAAGTCACAGAGCTAGGCAAGGGGCACAGCTGGGACCCAAACCTAGCAGCTTGGTAAGCATATTCCCCACCACTTGTGATTCACACACCAGGAACCCGGAAATTTCCCCTCCCTCCCATGCCAGGCTCACCTCGATGGTCTGGCACACCTCCTCCATCTGAGTGATCACGGCCTGCACGCGGTCGTTGCCCGCCACCAGCATTGCAATGCCATCGCTGAGCTCACTCTGCCGCACACACAGGCCAGCACTTAGAACTGGAGGGCCCTGTCTAGAGCCGTACCCCTCCCCTCCCAGCCAGGGCCGCCCCCTCCACCCCACCATCAGGGCAGCTACTCCAGAGATGTAGATGGCTTGAACCATCCAACAAGTGTGGAAGCACATTTATGGGTTCTGGAAGGAGGCGGAGAGAGGAGGCCCTCCACCACCAAATGAGAAAGGAACAGGCATTTGCCAAACATCCAGGCCTTGGGCTAAGTGCTTTATCTGTAGATTCATGTCTTTCATCAATTCAGAATTATTCTTTGTGATTATCTGTTAGGATACTATTGCCTCTTCTCCATTCTTTTTATTTTCTCCTTCTGTGACTCTGAGGAGGCCTATGCTAGAGCTTCTCATCCTTCTCATCTCCCGGTGCTGCATCCTGGGCTTTTTTTTTTTTTTTTTTTAGGCCTTTCTTCCTCTTCATTAATTCTTCATAGAAATTTCAACAACTATCTGTCCATTTTTTAAGTTTATTTATTTATTTTGAGAAAGACAGAGAGGGAGAGTATCCCAAGCAGGTTCCATGCTGTTAGCATAGAGCCTGATGTGGGGCTCCATCTTATACACCGTGAGATCATGATCTGATATGAAATCAAGAGTCAGACACTTAACAACTGAGCCACCCACATGCCCCTATAGTTTCATTTTTAAAAGCTCTATTTGGTTCTTTGTTAAATCAGCATTTTTGATAATCTATTATTACTTGTTCTTTTTATTCCATTTTTTAATGTTTATTTATTTTTGAGAGAGACAGAGCACAAGCAAGGGAGGAGCTGAGAGAGAGGAAGACACAGAATCCAAAGGAGGCTCCAGGCTCAGATCCATCACAGAGCCGGACGTGAGGCTAGAACCCATGAACTGGGAGATCATGACCTGAGCCAAAGTCAGATGCTTAAATGACTGAGCGAGCCACCCAGGAGCCCCTTTTAATTACATATTTTTTAAAAAACCATTTTATACACAGTGATACTCTATTCTTTAATAATTCCAATATCTGAGGGGCGCCTGGGTGGCTCAGTCCGTTAAGTGTCCGACTCTTGACTTTGGCTCAGGTCATGATTTCACAGTTCGTGGGTTCAAGCCCTGCATTGGGCTCTGCGCTGACAGTGCAAAGCTTGCTTGGAATTCTCTCTCCCTTTCTCTCTGCTCCACCCCTGCTCTCCCTTTCCCTCTCTCAAAATAAATAAGTAAACAAAAAAAATTTTTAAATCCCAATATCTGAATTCCTCAGGGGTCTGAACTATACTTTTTGTTTCTACTGCCTGCACTCATGGGGTACATTTCTTTCTGTATCTTCACTTTTGAATTGATATTTTGTTGTTCTTAATCTAAGGAAAACCCAAGAGCCTAAATTGAGGGTGCTTTCCTCCAGGCAGAATCTGCATTTGCTTTTGTCAAAAGTCAGGTGGGGTCACCTGGGTGGCTCAGTCGGTTAAGCGTCCAACTTCGGCTCAGATCATGATCTCATGGTTCATGGGTTCAAGCCCCACGTCGGGCTCTGTGCTGACAGCTGGCTCAGAGCCTGGAGACTGTTTCAGATTCTGTGTCTCCCTCTCTCTCTGACCCTCCTCTGCTCATGCTGTCTCTCTCTCTCTCAGAAATTAAAAAAAAAAAAAAAAAAGTCGGGTGGCATGACCGACCACCTTAGTTCCTGGGATTCCAGTTTAAGCTGAGTTTTGTGGGGGTCTTCCATTCAGATGTCTACCTTAGAGAGGCCTGGAGACGTAGTCACATCCCAACATCGTCTCATCCCTTCAGCTCAGTAGTGCTGCCAGCATTCATCCTCTGGTAAGTCTGGCCGTTTCTGTGCTTACCACCCAGCGTTCCGTGGTCAGCTCACTGCCACTTCCTCTCCCCACTCCACCTCCGCTTGGAGATTTCCTTTACTATGTGCCCACTGATATAATCTTTAAATCATGTTTTATGTCAGAAAGAGCTGTGTGGTAGTGAGAGGGCCTGGAGAGCATCTAGGCCACCAAACAAGTTGCTCACATCTTCCATGACCTAATTGTGTCCTTACAGCAACTCTCGGAAGCAGGCGTTTTCATCCCATTTTACAAGCAAGGAAAGTCAGGGTCAGAGAGGTCAAGTGACTTATCCAAGGTCACACTGAGTCATGCATAGAGCTGGGACTGTAGCCCTGATCTGCCTGCCTTTTATTTATTTATTTTTTGAGAGAGAGAAAAGAGAGCTTGAGTGCTATGTGAGCACGAAACGGGGGAGAAGCAGGGAGGTGGAGAAAGGGAGGCAGAAAGAGAGAGCAAATCCCAAGCAGCCTTGATGATGCAGGGCTCCATCCCATGACGCTGGGATCATGACCTGAGCCAAAATCAAGAGTCAGATGCCCAACCGACTGAGCCACCCAGGCACCCCCTGATCTGCCTGCCTTTAACACCAAGTGGAGTGACACGCTGAAGTTTGAGATGCTGTCCTGTGTCTGGCCCCACATGCCTGCTCCCTCTGCTTGATACCTTCTGGCGTTTGTAAATGGTGGGCAGTGGGGCCACCTCACAGTCCTTGTGGGCACCGAAGACCTTACAGAGAGAGCAGGTAGGCACTTCACAGCTCAGGCAGTAGATATTGATCTTCTCCTCTTCATGCTCCTCGCACATGAGGTGCTGCTCAGCCTTGGAGTGCAGTGGCCTGGAGGGGAGCGGGCAGGGTGGCGGCAGGGTCAGGGGCCAGGCTGGAGGGAAGTGGGCCCCACAAGTGCAGGCCCCCATGAACACCTTCTCTTCAGCCTTCACCAACCACCAATCACAGCTGGGGCTGGGCAGGTGAGTGACTTCCACGGTGGCCTTCATGTGAGGAATACAGAGAGCTAAGGGGTAGAGGAGGCCTAGATCCAAGAACAGTGTCTGTTCCAGGGGAGCAGGGAAGTCCCACAGGGCAGGAAGCCACAGATGGTTGGCAAGGGCCTTCCTGGTGGACTGCCAGCCCCTCCCCCAGGTGGAAGGGTGCAGGTGAAGCACTGCCCAGGATCCGAGATGCCTCAGCTAGGTGACCTGGGGCAAGTCCCTCCCCCTCCCAGGGTCCAGTCCTCTAATCTCTAAAGGAGCTGATCCTTTCAGCCCTTCCCTTCTGGCTGATGGGTTCCCCGCTCTGTTCTGTGTCCCTGGCCCTACCCCTTGGGGAGACAGGAGGTCTTGACAGCTCACCGGGAAGACTCTTGTTTGTAAATGTCAATAATGTTCTCCACTAGTAGGTTTCGCTGCAGGCCATAGACGCCATGTCTGTCCAGGACAACCTCATGCCTGCAAGATGGGCAGCGAAAACGGCCTCCAGAAGACACAGTGGTGGAGCCCCGGGATTGCCACAGAGGGTTCGAGGCCTGTAAGGACAAGTAGCATTAAAGGACAGCACAGTGAAGCATGAAGGAATGGGGAGGAGGCAGGAGGAAAGGTTATGGGGGCTGAAATGCAGGAGAATGGTGGAAGGGGAGGCATTTGCTGTTTTCCATGGGGAGGCCCTCCTCCTCTGAGGAGGGTGGGTGGCCATGGAGATCTTCTTTCCACTTTGACTCATAACTGCTTAAGTGTCCCTGCATCCAGAGCCCAACTTTGGTCAAGGCCCAGTCAGGATGGGGTCTCCCTAATGGGGCCCATCTTGCAGGTGTGGGGAGACATTGGGCGTTGGCAGGAAGGTTATGATTGGAAATGGACTCTGTGTGGTACAGCCAATGTCCTCCTGGGCCTCTCAATGGCCACAGCTGGGGGAGATTCTCTGTAACCCTCAGCAGGGAAGCCCAGACAAGTGCTGAACAATGGGGCACATGGGCCACATCATGGTGGGTAATTCTAGGAAACCATTCTAGAGCCTGGGAGCCTGGAGTCCTGCATTCTTGTGCTGCCCGTCATACTGTTCTACTATGTAAATTTGAGCAAGTGTTTGATCTCTGTAAAAGTAAGGACTACACTGAATTATTCCTTCTACAACAAATATTGAGTGTGCCAGGTAACTGCAAGGCTCTGGGGATAAGATGAACAAATGCCACCCTGCCCTAAGGACAAGTAAACTGACTACTACATCCGGCAGGTGGGGTTAAGACAGGAGTTAAGCTCAAAGGGTGAACTTAGAAGAGATGTTCATCACTTATACCTCTTAGAGCACTTGCTCCTTCCCATCCTAAAAGGGAGAGCCCTGCTACGGCCCAGGCTCAGAGCTGAGGGGGTGATCAACTGGCCCAAGCAGAACCAATCAAATTTTCTCTCCAGGAATTTGGAATTGAGACACAGAGGTGGGGATGGCTAGACCACGTACGGATTTGAAACTGAAAGACCTGCTGTGGAGTTGGGCAAAGAGCTGACACTGTGGTCCCCACAATCTTGTGCAAGTGGAAGTGGAAAGCAGGAGAGGTCATCAAGTATGAACAGGAAGGCTGGTCTTCAGAGAAGACCACAAAGAGTCAACTTGTGCACAGCAGCAGAGAGAAAAAACTGGTAGAGACTGCTTGTTTTCCCTCGATATTCACCTACTCTTCTTCAGTAATAGAGCCTCTGAGTTTTTAGCAAGATACATGGAATAAAGACTGTGTCCAGGGCACCTGGGTGGCTCAGTCGGTTAAGCTTCTGACTTCGGCTCAGGTCATGATCTGATGGTTCCTGAGTTCAAGCCCTGCATCAGGCTCACTGTTGTCAGCATAGAGACCACTTTGGATCCTCTATCCCTCTCTCTCTCTGCCTCTCCCCTGCTTACACTCTCTCTGTCTCTCTCAAAAAAAAAAAAAAAAAAAAAGACTATGTGTCCAAGCCTTCCTTCCAGCTGGGTAAGACCAGGTGATTACATTCTGGCCAATGGGATATAGATAGAAATGTTTGATGCAATTTCTAGGAAATATCCTTAATGGGAGGGGCATGCCCTACTCTTCTCCTTCCTGTGGGCTAGAATGAAGATGGAGGAGCTCAAGTTGAAGCAGCCATGTGGAGCCATGAGGTAGGCACATGATGAGAATGGCAACAAGATAAAAGGAGTAAGTCTCTGGACTGCCTACCTATACTTTTGCTTGAGAGAAAGAACACATTTTTAACCATCTTTAAGCCATTATTCTTTTGGGTTTTCTGTCACTTAAGAAGAACTTAGTCCTAGCTGGCTGGAAGACCATGGGCTCCTAGAGAGTAATGAAGAGTCACCTGTGGCTCTGAAAATTCAGAGGTCTTTCCTGCAGGTGCATATGATGAAATTCTCCAAATCCTTATGCTGGACCTCAGCCAGAGGGACCCTGATGTATGCAACAGCATCCAGAATGCAAGAGGGTATCCAAGTCCACAGTCTTATTTGAACCTTTAGAAGCAACAGATATAGGCAAGGCAGGAAATGTGGCCTCTGTGAAGTGGGCAAGTCTATCTTGGCGAGAGTGACTGGCATGTCACAAATATCACATTTGAGGCGAATTTCTTGTGAATCCTAAGAAGTTAACACTTTAGACCATCATAAAGCTAGAACATATTAGTTTGAGATTATCCAAGGCTGTGTTTGTGCCTTTGACTTTCTCAGTAGCTGCAATTGTATAAATACTGCTGAGTTTAGTTTAGGGTATGGATTAAAGTGTAAGATCACTGGGCTTTCGCTTACTTAATACAATTACCTTTCACTATTTAGAACCTAAATGAGTAAGGAGGTGTTGAGAGAATTCTAAGCCTACAAACTCCTGGAGAGATCTTTCTTCTCTTTGATTTGCTGGTAGCTAGCATAAAAAAAGTGCTCAGAAAATGTTTGAATGGCTGGAAAGGGGGCAATATTCCAAAGTCTTAACCCAGAGCACAAACTTCTGAGTTAGCCTCTCCCCTCCACTTCCTCTCTCACAGTCCCCCCTTCCTCTATACTCATTATTTAACATTCAACTCATGTGTTGAGGGCCTGTTATGTGTCAAGTACCATGCTATGGGTTTCCCAGACATTACTGAATTTAACCCTCAAGAATTTCTTGTAAATATGGTGGAGGACATGAACATTAACCCCCTAACTTAGACTACAGGAAATATAGTGACAGTGGCTAACTGGACACATACTTTATGCCAGATTTTTCTCTAAGTCCTTTTATTTGTATTAACTCATTTAAACCTCTTATCAACCCTTGAAATAGGTACTACTATTAGCCCCATTTCAAAGATAGGAAATTGCAGTCCAGAGGTATTAAATAAATTGTACACGGTTATCAGATAATAGGTGGCAGAACCAATATTTGAACTCAGGCACTCTGATCCCAGAGTCCAGCCTAAAAATCAATATATTAGAGGTGCCTGAGTGGCTCAGTCGGTTAAGCGTCCGACTTCTGCTCAGGTCATGATCTCACAGTTTGTGAGTTTGAGCCCCGCGTCGGCTCTGTGCTGACAGCTCAGAGCCTGGAGCCCACTTAGGATTCTGTGTCTCCCCCTCTCTGTCCCTCCCTTGCTCGTGCTCTGTTTCTGTCTCTCAAAATTGAATAAACATTTTAAAAAATCAATATACTACATTGTCAGATGTAGTAGAATTTAGGCCACCTGAAGGATGATGCCCAGAGTAACATTCGCCCCTCTGAATCTCAGGTAAAACAGATTTTAGTAAGAGGCATAAAAGGCCAAACATCTACCCTTCACAAAGAAAAGAAACAACAACGTAAAAGTGAGCTGTGCAACTGTGGATTGATGTTGTTTGAACTGAGGTAAACAAAATATGACCGATCAAACCAAAACCCCTTGTGCCATGAAGCAACGTAAGGATCCAGCTTGCAACCAGGATGACCTGTTTGTCGGTGAAAAGGAAAGGAAATAGTTCAAATCTCAGGGAGACCTTCTGCCATGGATCTCCACATGCCCCCAGGGTAGACAGTTCATCAGATTCTGTGTAAAAAAAATACGGAGGCGACATAACCAAACTGAGACACTCAGCAGCCTGCTAATCCGGGTCATACCCCACTAATCCACCGCAGAAGCCAAAGGACTAAACAGCGATTGCAAGCCAATGGTAACATTCAGCTAGCCAGTTTACACTTATATGGACCGTGGAAGAAAGCCAAGGTAGATGGAGGGTTGACTAAAGAATTTACCCTCGGCCTCAGATAAAACTACTCTGGTTCAAAGAATAGAAAGCAGAAGGGATCCAGCAGGAGATATAAACTGAGATAATAAAAAAAGGAAAAAGAAAGCATGACAAGCAATGAAGATGAAGGATATGCTTTGGAAGAAGGATTGTTCCTAGAAACAGTATTTAAATCTAACATTTAAAAAAATTTAATGTTTATTTTATTTTTGAGAGAGAGACGGAGTGGGGGAGGGGCAGAGAGAGAGGGAGACAGAATCTGGAGCAGGCTCCAGGCTCTGAGCTGTCAGCACAAGGCTGGATGCAGGGCTCGAACTCATGAGCTCTGAGATCATGACCTGAGGCGAAGTTGGATGCCCAACTGACTGAGCCACCCAGGCGCCCCTTCAATCTAACATTAAAAAAAAAAAAAAAAAAAAAAGCCCACAGTCTCTTTGTTTAAAAAAGAGATATAAGTGATCAAAGCTGGAGAAGAGAGGGAGATGGCAGAATTAAGAAATCAAGTAAAACATGTTATCAACGTAGAAACAAAATTCACATTTGACACTACAGCAGGAAATAGAATGTATACACTGACGGAAGTCACATAGATCATAGTGGAAAATAACAGCATAAAAGCAATCAGGACTACATGCTACAATGTGGATCAACCTTGAGGACTTTGTGCCAGCTGAAATTAGTCTGCTGCAAAAGTACAAATACTGTATGGTCCCTCTTATATGAAATACCTGAAATAGTCCAATTCATAAAGATAAAAAGTAGAATGATGGTTACCAGGGGCTGAGGGATGGGCAAGTGGGCAGTTATTATTTAATGGGTACAGAATTTCAGTTTAGAATGATGAAAAGTTCTGGATACATAGCAATGTAATAAAGCTGAACTGCACACTTAAGAATGGTTTAAAATAATTGTAAAGTAAATATTGTTAAGTAAATATTTAAGCTTTAAAAGTGAGTCCTTTCAATGAGAAATAATCAACTATTGCACAGGTGGTACCCGGCTACAGCAAAAATCAAGAAGGTAAAATGAGAGAAAGTCTGGGGAGTCGCTCTCTTTTCCTGACACCCTCCTCAGTTGAAACTTGTCTGTCTTGTGTCCCAAACCTTTTGCAAATGCTGGGTGGCTACTTTGAGAAAGTAATCTGTACTGGATATAAGGATAAAATGGTTACCCCTTGGAGAGCCTGGGTGGTTCAGTTGGTTAAGCAACTGACTCTGATTTCAGCTCAGGTCATGATCTTACAGTTATGAGATGGAGCTTCCCATGGGCTTTGTGCTGAATGTGGAGCCTGCTTGGGAGTCTCTCTCTCTCTCT